GGGGATTGAACCGCGGTCCCTGTGTTCTGCTTAGCTTAGCTTGTTCTAAGTAGGTGCTTTAGACCACTGAACCATCTCACCAGCCCCAGAAGTTTGGTTTATTACAAGCAACTAACTGCTAAGTCAAAACTACTCCAAAGCAAAACATTCAGCACAATTGCTATTTCTGGAACTTCCACTCCTGGCTATGACATAAATGGTAGTAACTCATTGAGCTATAAAAATATTGGTAATTTAGCAGCCCTTTCTCCCATTTAACTGGTTCAGATCACAAGTGCCTTGAATTAGATCAGTGATTCTAACGTGGATGCCAGAGGTAAACCAAATCAAAGAAACTTCTCCATAAAACATATCTGCCTCCTTCACATTTCCTCACTAAGATTCTGAAAGGAAGTGTAATGGGACAGATGTGTATGTTTTTAAAAAACCTTCTAAGGGGGCTGGTGAGATGGCTCAGTGGTCTAAAGCACCTACTTAGAACAAACTAAGCTAAACAAAGCACAGGGACTGTGGTTCAATCCCCCAGCACCACATGCCAGCCAGCCCCGCCCCCTGGTGGGCTGAGCTGCCCCCCATAAATAAATAAATAAATATTTTTTTTAAAAAAAAAAAACCTTCTAAGGTATTTTGAGATATTTATCATATCTACCTTTATGGCGAATTCTCATGTTTGGTACAAACCTTTTTAAAATTATCCTACCCACAGCAAGCATAAGGAACAGAGCTACAAAAAATCTGCAGAAATCCACACAGATAAAAAACTATATTCAGAGCAAGTGTAAGCCCCCTTCAGAAAATTCTGTACCAGCCCTGTCCAAATCTGAATGTTACGTTTTAGATAATAACGAATGTTCAGTCCACTACCCTAAGAAAATAAAAACACATTTTACTAGCTAGACCAAAATGTAAAAAGAAAAAAAAAAAAAAAGTAAAAAGAAGCCAGTTGTGGTAGGGAGATTCAGAGATGCCACAATAAAACACCAAAATTTTGTTCTGGTATTAAAAAAACAAAGTTCTACTATAGGTCCTGGTGTCCACCACACCTATAATACAAACACTTAGGAGTCTAAGGCAGGAGGACTGCTGTGAGTTTGAGGGTGGCCTGGGCTACACCACAAAACCCTGCTCAAAATCAGCAACAACAAACCACACAAAAAACAATAGTTAAATCAACAGTCCCTGTCAAAATAGCTTAAGGGTCAGAGTAAGAGAAAAATTTTTTTAAAGATTCATTTTAAAGTGCTTATTTTCCAACACCCATTATTTCAAATTCTTTACAAACTGTTCCAGTAGGGAGGCTTTCAGGAGAGGACTTCGAGCTATAAATAACATCTAATTATTATATGCTAATTTGGATTAGTGTTTCTTAAACTACCTGGTAATCCCTTAATGTTCAATTTATGGCACGCTACAATGACACCTACTGGACACACTCAAAAGCACTTGTTACATCTCCAAGACAGTAGGCTGGTTACATAAGGAGAAAAAAACGCACGGGTGCCCGCACACACACACAAGAACCCAACCTACAAAGATCTGTTCACCAGTTCCCAAAACTACACAAATTCGCTTAAAATAGAAACAGTTTTCTTTGCGAGACAGCATTATGTTTTTAAGAGATAACAAAGAATGAGGCACCACGAATCATTTGAAATTTTTAATTAAAGTACTGACAAGGATTTCAGTAGCTTGAACACTTCAGAACCAACTTTTAAGGTTCCACTTCTTCCCAAATACTTTGAGAGAAAAAAAAAAATGAAATGGTGATTTGAGTTTCTATGAAATAATATAAATGATCGCTAATACAAAAAAAAATCAGATTTTGCAAATTTTTGACAAGCAACACTAAAACAAATACAGGAATACAACAAAATTGCTAATATTCCATTCTTCCTGAACCAAAGGGAATATTTCAAACAGCTTATATTGTATTTAGTTTCTTTTAAAACTTTTCTAGACTTTTAAAATCGTTCTCAATGAACTACAAAATCACGTCTGTTGTAGTCTGTCCTTCCACAGCATATTCTCCGTGAAATTCTGATTTCATAATGTAGATATAAATTCTACATTATATTATGCAGACAATGAATACAAAGACTTAAGAGCAAAAGAACTTATGATTAGTTTTATCTGTAAACATATCTTACCTAAATTCAAGAGATTCAAATACCTTTTAATCCTAAAATATAAATAACTCCTAACAAGTGCCTCAGACTTACAGAAGTACTTAAAAGTTGGCTTTCTCCCCTACGCCCCAATTCCTCAATTCCAACTTTTCAGTTCCCAACATCTACAAGACCTAAGGAGAGGTGAGAGATCTACCAACTTCTTTTCTGGCCGTTTTCCAACTTGGACTTACCTGCTATTACACAATTTCGAAGCTCCCCAGTTTCCTAAAAAACTACTGTTAGCATCCTTGACCCTCCTAACACAAGGCCACGGATTACCAACCCGGGACCCGCCGGCACTGGTCTCAGGCTAAGGTCTGCCCCGCGGAAGCCCGGCGGGCGGGGGCGCCACGACGGCCCACCTCCCGCGCCCCCCTCGCAGCGCTCTCGCCCTCGCCCACGGCGCCCGCCGGCACCCAGCACGCGTGCCCCTCCTCGGAAAGGTCCGCCTGACGGCTCGGGCCAGCGCCAGCCCGGTTACATAAGGGCAGCCGGGAAGCGTGCGCGCAGGGTCCGAGCGCCAGAAGTTCTTTCTCCTCCGCACCCCGCGCCGCCCGCAGAACGGGCCCTGAAAAGCAGTCCCTCAGCATCCTCCCGGCTCCCGCACCGCCGCGTCCTCGGCTCGCCGGGGACCGGCAGGCGTCCCTCCAGCCCCGCGCCCCGCGCCCCCTCGCCCCTGCCTGCTGCTGCGCAGGCCCCCGCGCCCCGCAGGACCCGCACCGCCGTCTCCTCACGACCTCGGCTGCTACCTGGCTACGCGCGTCCGCCACCGCGGCCGTCCGGCTGCAGCCGCCCCAGCCACCCTAGTCAGCTACTCTCGGCACGTCCCGCAGCCAGACAAGAAGGCCCCTACGTCGAGAGCTTCGGGTCCCAAGAACTAGCGCGACCACCTACCCGCCCCCGCCACCTCCGGCTTCCGGCCGCCACCGCCTCCCGCAACAGCCTACCAACCGCAGCGCAACATCCGGGCCTCTAGTTGGCTGAGCCCCCGCTCTCAACAACAGCCACGTTCATTGGCTGCAGCTTCCTTCGGCCCGCCTCCGGGTGCAGGCTCTAAGAACTCCGCCTCCGACCCGGAAAACATGTCTTCGCCCTGCTTCTGTGCTCCTCAGCGACGCTTGTCTCAGCCAAATTTCAGCTCTCCATATGTAGGCAAAGTATGGATTTTCAATCTCCTTCGACTTATCTCCACTTGGTTCAGAATCTCTGAGCCAAAACCGGAACCCTAGAAGTCGGCGCCGCTTTCCTGCCGTGAGAAACTCGAGGAGACAACTTCCGCTTCCGGTTGGCTCCCGCTGCAAGGTTGAATAGTGTGTGTCTTGGGAGGTCAGCGTGTTGTCAGGTAAATCCGGGTGTGGAGGAGCCCTCTGAGTTCGGGACGACAGCTGGAGTCTTGTGGGGAATGTCGCACGGGAGAGACTAGCTGTAGAAAGATGAGGGGCAGGTGGAGGAGCCGGCGCGCGCCGCTCCGAGGTCTGGGCAGGACCTGGGGGGCGGCGGAGGGAGGACGCTGCTTTCGGCGTCCTCGCCGGGCAGACCAGCCCCGACGGTGACGGCCTGAAGCAGAAGTGGCTGTGCGAAACGCGTTTTAATTTTTTCCTGGAATATGTATTTCATTACAGTTCAAATGAAGTGGGCAGAATCGTCCCCACTGCAGTTGTCTATGCCCAGGGAGTGGACCTAAAATTGCTAACGCTCCGCTTGGTTTTGGTTTTGGTGTTAGCCTTTCACTACAGAGCTACCAGCCTTTTTACTCGTTTTTGAGCCAGTTTCTCCCAGTAGCCCGGGCTGACCTCAAACTGGGCGTCCTGCCTCAGCCTTCCTAGTAGGTGAGAGTCCAGGATATAACAGGCCACCA